ACCCAAAGAAGCAAGTCGGGGGGCGTTAAAAGACTCTTAAGGCTCCTACTTCAGGGACGACTGGACAGGGCCTTTCCTTGGCCAGGCCTTGGCTCTCAAGCCAGCAAGGGTGTCCATCTGCCCCGAGATGTGTCAGGCACTCTGGCTGCCCAGCCGGACAAAGAACAAAGCTCGACTTGGTGTTTTCTACTTTTATTTTCTAGAACAAAACCCATGCCACCTGGCAGGCCCCACTCCACAAGCACTGCCCGCACGAGCCCTATCCGGAGGCCAGCCAAGGCTGGGAAGAAGAAGGCCACTGGTTCTGGGGACAGACAACACGGCGTGCCCATCTGTTCATCTCTGGAACAGATGGTGACTGGCACTGAGAGGGAAGTGGCTTGCCCCCAGGGAAGGGTGTTCTGGGGTCTTGAGCCTGGCTGGGGACATCCCAGGCCAAGGCTCAGGTTGGGTTGCAGGGTGGGCAAGAACCAAGTGACTACACAGTCCCCACATTCGTACCAGCACTGTGACCCTATGAGCCCTCGGTCTGGGGCTGGCCAGGAGCTCCCGGCCTCTGCTAGGCCACCTATCATCCTGGCCCTTTGCGGGTCCTAGTGTGGGGCTGCCTAGTGTGGGCAGGGACCGAGCCTAGATGGCATCGCCATCACTGTCAGACTCGATGATGTCCAGCGGCTGCAGGCGCAGGGAGTCATAGTTGGGGGGTGGTGTGCCTGGGATGGGCAGGGTCTGCCCGTCGGGGTCAGCCCCGGGCCCGGGGCCATGGTTGGCCATGTCGGGCTGGAAGGCAAAGTTGGTGTGAGCCTCCACCAGCTCAGCCACGGTGGGTGGCGGGCCGGAGTAGCGAGCCTGGGCCCGCTTCTGCCGCAGGCTCTTGGAGAAGGCCACCAGCTTGATGACGGTGATCCACACAAAGTCGATGATGATCTCAGCAAACTCGATGAGGCACAGCACCGAGCCCCCCATCCAGAAGCCAAACTGGCCGCCCAGGTTGGAGAGCAGCCAGACAATCTGTGGGGAGCAGGGGTCTCAGGGCCTGGCGGGGGTAGGGGTCGGCCCCAAGTGCCTGCCTGGAGCTCGGCCTCATGGCTCCTGGGAGGTGGATGGGTGGTGGGCTGGGAAGGGGGCGGGGACCAGTTTGGAACTGCTTTCAGGACCTCCCTAATCCCTCTGTGGGGCTGGGAACCCTCGTCGCCCCCAGGGTGCTGGCTGGAGGCATTTGGAGCCCCCCGACTCACGTTATAGGCTGCTGACTCCTCAATGGTGCGGTAGTTGAATTCTTGGAAGTAGATATTGAGCTTGACAACCCCCTTCCTGCAGGAGGGAGCGAGAAATGCTGGTGCCCTCTCCCCGACACACGCACACACACACGTGCACACGCACACACGCGCAAGGCCACCGAGGGGCCGCCGCAGCGCTCCTCTGCCTGAGCTCGCAGGCCAACTCCCACAAGCGGTGAGGTTCACACAGGAGCCGACGGTGCAGCCCTCACTGGCCCCACGGGCCCCAAGGGCACCTGCGTCCAGCACCCCTCCTGCGGGCCCCATCCTGAACCAGCTTCCTAAAGGGTGCTCTGAGCTCCCGTCTCCCACCAACCCCCAGGGCGGCCCCGCCCATGGGCAGTAGACTCTGCGTAGATCCTAAGCCTCTGTCAGGGGACCGGGGCGGAGAAGGGCGGCCGGGTGGGCGTCCCCTCTGCACCTGCTGGTCCTCAGGCTGCGCTCTCTCGCCTTCAGGCTTCTGCCTGGATGTCTTCGCCTCGCGTTTGTCTAAACAACTCCTCCTTGGACGTTAGCTCAAGGGCCACCTCCCTACAGTCCCTCAGGCGCATGGAGGCTCCCTCCCTGCTCTGCTCCCACAGGGAGGGTCTGGTCCAGACTCGGCACCATGAGGCCTGGCTGCTTCTCCCTGCTCTCTAGGCTTGAGCTTCCCGATGGCATGGGCCTTGTGTCTTCCTTGTGCCCAGTGTATGCTTGTGTTGAGTGGATAGAAGGATGGACAAATGGATGGAGGTGGGGTGGGTGGATGGACGAGAGGAATAATGGAAGGATGGACAATGGATGGATGATGGGTGGGTGGATAGATGGGTGAGTGGACTGTTGGATGGATGGAAGACTATACAGATGGATGATGAATGGGTGGAGGGGTAGAAGATTGGAAGGATGGTGATGGATGAATGGATGGACAGACAAACAGGTGACAGATGGAGGAACAGGTCCTCCTCTAGGAGTGGCAGACTGAGTCCCCTTGGCTGGCCGCTGCTCCCAGTGCTCCCTCTCCCAGGCTTACTCCTGGGTCTGGCGGGCGTGAGGTGTCTGAGTGGCTGCCCTGGGTCCACACCCCTCCCTGAGGCTCGAGTTCCTGCCCTCTTCTGCTTTGCCCAGCCCCGCCCGACGCCAGGCTTACCTGCTCAAGGTGATGTTGGTGCTTTGGTCTCGCTCCTGAGACAAGACGTGGAAAATCCAGTCCTGCAACCCAAGAGGGCAGCTGAAAAAGACAGTTCCTGCAGCATCCCCCCCAGCCCCGGGCCCCGCTACCTGCAGGGGCAGGCCGCAACCCCGTGTCTTCCCGAAAGGGCCCACGTATTGGGACGAGGAGGAGGAGGAAGGAATAGTGCATAGGGTGGCCGCTGTCATGGAGAGGAAGCACCAGGGTCTCCAGACCCTTCCCCCAGAGGCCCAGCCATCCCCTGCCAGCTCGCTCCCGCCTCTGGCCCTTGCACTCGCTGTCCCTCTGCCCGGGTCCTCCTCCCCACCCCCACCCATGGCTGGCTCAGCTCCACCTTCCTGTTTTCACTCAGATGTCGCCTTCGTAGAGGGTCCTTCCCCGACCGCCCCATCTGAGAGCTTTCCCGTTCTCTCTCATCGTCTACTTCCTCTACAGCGTTACCACACTTTGCAATGATCTTATTTCTGTGTATCACCTGTTTCTCGGACTGGAACGTAAGCGCTGTGGGGACAAAGGACTGTGTCTGTCCGGTTCACTGCGGTGTGCCCAGCACAGTGCCTGGGGCCACGTGGATGGAAGGGAAGGGAAAGGGAGGGCAGAGCGGGAGCACTCTCTCCAGGGTTCCAGGTGGCCTGCAGACCTATGCCCAGACCTGTCCCTAGCCCAAGGACGGGAGGCCAAGAGCTTGGCCACTCCGCCATCTCACCTCAGAAGCTTCTGAAGGCCAATCGGCCATGGAGATGGTCATCTTATACTGGGTGTCACTGGAAGAGAAAAGGCAGAACTGTGGGCTGTCCCAGCCAGCAGCGCCCCGCCGCCTGCCCCACCACCTGCCCCGCCGATGTGTCGTGCCCACGCCGCACTCACTTGCAGGATTCCTTGCACATCCCGATGCAGGCTTCCCTCTGGTCCAAGCTCCTGTGCAGCTCCGAGTAGCAGTAGACTGAGCGGGAGAGAGGTGGGCAGAGACCCTGAGCTGGCTTTTTAGGTGCTTTTCTCCCCCACTGTGAGCCTCTGGCTGTCCTCCGCCCTCCGGGCCCTGGGCCACCTAAGGTCTGCGGTTGCCGGTGGGGGAGTTGTCTCAATCCAAACTCCCGTTGTGGAGAACCACCCAGCCCCCAGTCCCCCACATCCAGCCATTTGCCCTAGCCTGGCCTGGGGGACCCTCTCCCCACACATCCAGACCCAGCTCAACAGACCGAGGCACCTTCCACCTGCTTGTCTTCCCCATTCCCAGTGGAAGCCAGGGAGACGGGGTCATGTCGACGGGGTGGGTGGTTGGAAGGGGTAACGTTTTCCCCTCTTGTACCATATTGTGTGGATTTCAAGAGGTGGTGGGACCCCCTCTGCCACTTACAACACCCACCAAGGTGTTTGGACACCAGCCGTCTGAGCCTAGCAGGCACGCGCCTCCGCCCCCTCGCCCTCCCCTCCCCTCCCTCTTCCCTTCCTCCCCCGCCTCCTTGTTTCAAGCCCTTGGAGGCCACCTCCCTCTCCCCTCGCTCTAGTACCCCCCAGAGTGACCGGGTGAGCTCACACAGACACAGTGCTGAGGCCTCATGCATGCATGCGCGCGCGCACGCACGCACACACACACACAGTGTGCACACAAACCAGCATGCATGAATGCAGATGCTGGAAGCACCCCCTGCCCATGCACAAACACGCAGATGGGCACCACAGTCCCGAGTGCGCCCTCACATCAAGATACACAAACACCCTTCCCCGTGCATGTGTGAAAACGTGCATGCACAGACACGTGTACTCGCCAGGGCTGCACGCCCAGGCTCCCACATGCGAGAGCGTTTCCATGGCACACAGATAGCACGCGGACGGTCACTCGCACAGACACGTTTCAAGCGTGCACTTCACGGAGTCGAGGTGGGGAGGGGAGCCAGTCCCCTGGGAGACGGTGCTGGGGAGGGTGGGGCCGCGGGCCGTGGCAGAAGGCCTGGGCACACCCCTAGGCCCTGCTGAGGGCATGGAGCTGTGCCCCTCCCTGGCGGTCAGAGCCTTTGTGGACAGGTCCCGCTGGCCAGGGTCACCGACGCGGGCCACCTACCCCAGTCCGGGAAGTCCTTGTCGTTGCAGTATCTCGCCCCCTGGGGCAGTGGGTACAGATAGTAGCCACAGCTGCAGTTCTGGATCATGTGGTCTTGGAAGCATGAGTGAATACAGGCCTGGGGGGTGGCAGGGAGAACACAGACATGACTGGTGATGTCCCCACCCCAGCCCCAGGCGTAAGGCGCCCAGGGAACTTAGTGCCCAGGCCCAGGGAGCACAGGGAGCCAGGAGAGGTGTCCCTCTGGCTCAGGAGTGGTGGTGAGGTGACTGAGCTGTTCCTACCGTCCCTCCCTGTCTTCTGTCTCCTGCAGAGGGACTCAGACTGGACCCCAGCTCCCTAAGGATGGCCCCTGCCACCTTTTAGAGCTGGGCCCCCACAGATGACATGGGGAGGGGCGGCTTGTTCCGAATCCTGCAGCTAACGCTTGGATAGGTAATTCTTGCTATGAGGCTGCTGCAGGCTCCTGAGCCCTTTCACGGAAGGGCCCAGAGGGGCAGCTCTGAGGCAGGCGGGCGGGGGCTCCGCGGGCTCTGAACGCCCAGCACTGCGGGGAGAGGAAGCAACAGCAGAACGTGCCCTGGGAGGGGCGCGGGGAAGAGGGTGCAGCGCGCCCAGGGCTGAGCGATGAACCTGTACTCGTGCCGGGCTTCCAGGCCACTCCAGCCTGGTTTCCGTCCACCCAGAGGCCAGCTGTGTGTCCTGCAGCCAGTCACTAACCTCTCGGCCTCAGTTTACTCACAGGTGGAACAGGGTGACAACCGGCTGAGGTGGGGAGGGCTGGGCTTGGCCTCAGCGAGGGCGGGGTGGGGTGGGAGGTGGCCAGACTCGTGGGAGGGTTGAAAGCATCAAGTGATGGCGGGGTGCAGGCCAAACCTTAGTGCAGCATCTCGCACACAAGGGTTCTCCCCGGGGCACCCTAGAGTGCAACCCCTCCAGTCCTAGGCCTCTTCAAGGGCACACCTGCTGAGTGGGGATGGGAGGGGCAGCCCTGGGCCCTGGGGAGAACCCAGGGACTGGACCAGCTCCATAGCCGCAAGTGTCACAAAATCCACTACATCACCCTGTGGTCACAAAAATCCAGCAGAGCCAGCCTTGCTGGGACCAACATGCCCAGGGCGTGCACCTTGGGCGCTGTGGCGTGGGCGGGCCCCTGGGTCAAGAGGCCTGCTCCGTCCGCCCACCTGGATGGAGTAGGTCGTGTTGTGGTCGCTGTAGATGTTGTGGACAGGAACATCAGAGCCGTTCACGGTGCAGTGGCTGTAGGGCTCGCCTTTGCGCTCCAGCTTGTCCTGGGTGAGGAGGATGTTTGCGGGGACCCCTGGTCACTCCTAGGAAGCCCCTCTGTGCCCGCCTCCCAGTAAGCATGTGGGTCTACGGATGCCAAAAGGGGGTGGCGAGCCGTGGGCCCCTCCCCCAGAGCACAGCTGCCTCACTGGGAGCCAGCCAGGGGCAGGGTAGGAGTGGACAGTGAGGGAAGGCCAGGGCTGGGCGGCCCGGTCCCCTCCCAGGCTGCACTGGGCCGTGTTCGTACCACCAGCACGCCGATGGACGTCTCGGTCCCAGACATGGCGTAGATGCCCTCGTCTTTGACGAAGGGGTACGACCTCTGCTCGTGAAGCAGCAGCCGGGCGCCGGCCGTGGACGTGAGGAAGGGCACGTAGTCCTCCTGGCTTATGTCCAGGACCAGCTTCAGGCCTGTGGGGCAGGGGGCCGAGGTTTGAAGGGGGCCCACCCCCGAGTGCCCGCTGCCCGCCCGGCCCAGGGCGCCTCCGCGGCCTGCCCAGGAAGCAGGCTCCCCTTGCGAAAACCTAGCCTGTCGGCTCCACTGCCTCTTCGCTGGGCTCCCCCCACGACCTCTCTTCCGACCCCTCTTCGCACGGTGGGAGGTCTAGGGGCTCACGCAGTCCCGCCCCGCCCCCACGTCCTCCCAGACCTCCTCTCTGCTCCCCGTCCAGCCCCCTTGGCGCCCTGCTCCTTCCTGCCGCTGAGCCCTGGGGAACGCTGTTCCCGCCCTCACCCTTCACCTGGAAAGCCCTGCTCCTCCCGACATCGCAGCCCAGGGGCCACTCCCTCCAGGGCCTCCCCCACGACCTCGGGCCCTGCCACCCGCTCTCCCAGCTCCTCAGAAGCGCCTGCCTCACTCTCGTGACTGTCTGTCCATCTCCCACCCCCCCCACCACTCGCCTGCGCCCTTCTGAGGGCGGAGACCAGGCCCGTGACTGTGCCGGGGGCCAAGGACGGCGAGGCTGGCGTCTGGCGGGCTACACTACGTGCAGGGTGCTGGGCCACGTGCTCTCTCGTGCACGGTCTCACGGGTGCTTAGGAGAGGCACCCCTTATCCCCATTCCACAGATGAGGGAACCGAGGCACAGAGAGGCCACCCGGCGAGGGAGTAGCGTTGCTGGGGTTCTGACACCAGCAGCCGGGCTCCTCGATCCTAATCTTCTGCCCCATGAAGCGGGTTGAGTGGCACCCCTGAGACACAGTGTTGGCACGGGCTGGGCGGCCCATGGCCCTGGTGCCTCCTGCATGACTGAAGCCACAGCCGCCCGAGCCCACGAGCCTTTCCGGAGCAGGCCAGCCGCCACCAGCCTCCTCCTGCCCTCCCCCCCGCCCGCATCTGTCCTCGGTGCCCTGTCTGCCTGTGGCCCTCTCTCTCTCCCAGAACTGCAGAGTCACGCAGCTCAGACCCAGGGCTCTGCCAGGCATCAGCTGGGCGACTCGGGCGAGGCATTCAGACTTCCCCTCGCATGCCCGGGCCGCCGGGCTTGGCCGTTCGCCCGCTACGCCACAGGGACCAGTGAGGTGTACACTGCGTCCTGTGCCACGGGCACCACTGTCGAACCGGGAAACCGAGGCTCTCGGAGCTTAAGTCTTCTGCTCAGTCTCGCCCAAGGCGTGAATGATGGGGCTGAGACTTCCCCGGACACAGCCGCCTGAGCTCTTGACCGCTAAGGTGCACCGCCTCCGAGTCCCCACTTTGCTCATCGGCAAAATGGGGACACCCAGGGATGTGGGCCAGGGGATTGGATGGCTGGGGAGGCATCTCCCCATACACGGGACAGGCTCCCCACGGCTGCTCGTCCCTGTGCCGGGCCCCACCCAGCCCGGGGCCTGCCCCTCAACTCCGGATGGTAATTTGGTCTCGGCCCCACGTGATGGGGTGTCTAAAGCTTCACGGTTCCGCCCCCAGGAGGAACCAAGGCTTACCGAACTCGACTCCGGGGTTGGCCGAAGGGACTGCCTTCTCTGTCATGCCCCAGTTGAAGATGTAGCAGTTGCCATAATCGGGGTGGAAGAGGGTCGTGAAGTTCCTAAGAGAGACACCAGCAGCTGGAGGACAGGCCCCCCTGCCCCCCGCCCTTACTGCTCGGAGGGGCTCAGGAGGGCAGAGTTGAGGAACGGGGCGTTCCGTCCGTCCCCCCAACAGCAGCGCACGGGGGACAGGAGAGGAGACGCACGCAGAGCGGAGGCCACAGGGAGACGAGGCAGAGTGGTTATGCAGACGTGAGCCGAGGAGCGCCTGGGGCCAGCGGAGCTGGCAGAGGCGGGACGGGGTCTCCCCGGACCCTCCGAGGGAGCCCTGTGACGCCCTGACTCTGGACCTCGGGTCTCCTCTGTGAAAGGAGAGCCCCGTGGTTTTAAGTCGCCGCCCTGGCAGAATCCAGAGCCCCTGGAACTCCAGTCAAGAGGGAAGTGGCCTGAGGGGAAGGGTCAGAGTGGGTGTCACTCAGGAGATCGTCCACGCAGAGGCCGAGGAGAGAGGACAGCAAAACTGGGCACGGAAATGTCCCATCCGTGTCACCGAGCCGTTTCCTAAGGGAATAATTCAGCCTCAGGAAACGTTCCCACAGAGATGCTCACCGAAGCAGAGAGACGGTATGACGTCGTTTCAAAGAATTCAGTTAAAAAAAATTTTTTTTTTTTTTTTGATACGGAACGTTTCAAACGTCTAAGAGTCAAGAGAACGCAGCCCACTGCCAGCTTCAACGGTCGTCACCCTGGCCAGTCACGTTCCTTCTCAACCTTCCAAGTGTTTTTGAAGCAAATCTCAGACATCATAATTTGTGATCATTTCATATGTATCTCTAAAAGGAAAAACTCAAAAAATAATGCAACTACCGTGTTAAAAATAATTAGCAAAAATTCCTGCCTATTGTCAAATATTCAGTTCAAAGTTCCAGGTGCCTCCTGCGTGGCACTTTGTTTTTACAGTTTATGTTTACGTTGGGATCCAGCTGGTGTGAACATGTGACCGGCTGATAAGTCTTAAATCTCTTCTGATCTCTGCCTCTCCCCATCTGACTTTTTTTTCTTGCAATATTCCTATAAAAAGAGTTCCAGTTTGATCCAGCTAATAATCGAAGAGGAAGAGATGTAATTAGAGTATACGATTGGAGTGTCGCATAATACAAAATACGTCATTTTGCACTCTCGTGAGTGAATGGCTCTGGGCGACGTACACCTGTGGTGACCAATGCTGCGTGTCTCCTGTTGGATGAGCCGCCAAGCCAGTGTCCTGTCCCAAAACGGAACCAAACACAACAAAAAACCCCCAGCCCTGGACAGGACCGAGCGTCTGTCTCTCACGACCATTCGCGACCAATGCTGGAGGCGGTTCAGAGACGTCCCGGGAGGGCAGTCTGCGCGATCCAGACCGTGGGATCTGGATCTCCACGCCGAGGAGCGTAACCCAGCTTCTTCGACAAATGCATCGTGACAGAGGGACAGGGTTGCGATCACAACGTGCGGGCGGTGACTGGATCCGGATTCGAACAGAAGAGAGTGACATTTCCGAGTGCCACGCGGCCGGAGGGGCGGTGCTGTCGAGCCTCCGCGAACTGGGAGGGGGTCGCGGCACTGTGGTTCCATGCCCGCGCTCGTCACAGGCGGGAGGACGTGGCGTGCGGGTTCGCTGCGGGACAGCGCAGCCAGGGGTGTCGGGCGTGGGTCCCGTCCAGCGGCCGTGGGTCCCGGTGGGTTCACCGTGCCCTGTTCTGTCTGCGTTCTCCGGTCTCCGTAGGAAGTAGCTTTAAAACAGTCTTTGGATGTTTTCATGTTGTTTTTCTTATTTTATTATAAGCAGGAAGGAAGGGGACCCCAGGGTGTCTGATGCACAGATGTCACTGCAGTGCCTTTGCTTGGGGCCAGGCTGTGCCGAGTAGGCCTGTGACAGCCTCGCGCGTGAGCCTCCTATAACCCCGTGAAGGCAGCTGCTCGTGTCCCTGTGCTCAGATTTGGGAGCCGTTCCCTCTGTCTGTGGTAGGCGGATGAAGGGCCCAGGGCGGGCTGTGAAATCTGGTCCTCAGTGGGGACAGGGAGGCCGGGAAGCCCATGCTCCTTCACCCAACCAGCGTTCATGGGGATGGGCCCTGGGCCGGGGGCGCCAAGGCCAAAGATGTGGGCCTGCCCTCGTGGGGAGACACGGCGCAGTGTCGGGCAGTGCCTGTCTTCCAAGGTGTCCCGCCAGGTCAGCCGGGTCTGAGCCACCAGCACCCGCAGCCCGGATCCCCCCCTGCTCACTTACAGCCCCCCTCCTGCATGGCGACCAGGCGGTCATGTAAACTGCAAAGCAGACCAGGGCACATCCCTGCTTAGACCCTACAGACACACTCCGGTGACATGCCAGGACATCGATGGTCCAAGGCCCTCGTGCCCTCGAGCCCGGGATGTGCTCTGGCCAGCTCGTCAGATAAGTGGCTTCTTCTCATCGCTCAGGTTTCATCTGCTCCCAGACCGCCCCGTGCACTCACTGCCCGGCCCAGTCACCCCGTCATTTCCAGTGCTGGTTTCCTTGGCGGGATGCAGCGAGATCTGAAGCTCCCCGTGTCCCCGACTGCTTGCCAATAGCCGCCTCCTGCCCCACGCGTGAGGCCGGCGGAGGTGGCTGCTGTGTGTTTGAGGAAGAGAGAAGCTGTGGGCCGAGAGCCCAGGCCCCGCTAGCTGGCGAGCTCGGGGCAGTCGCTTCGCTTCCCCGTGCCCGCCTGCCCCACCCGTCACCCTGGGCAATAAGGCCCGCTCCTGGAGGACCGAGGGGAGGCCTGGGTGCCAAGCGCACGGGAGCTCAGCAGACGCCGGCTGCCGACGCGCTCCGCTCCCTCAGCCCCACGCATAGGAGACAGGAGCTCAGTAAATATTTGTCAGCGTTACAGATTGTGACATGTGCCGAAGCACCACAGAGGGAAGCATGAGGAGCGACAGCTCGCTCCCCCGGGGGGGGCCGGGGAGGCTGCTCGCGAGGACTCTGGGGCTGAGTGAGACAGAGGGGAGCCTAGGGAGTGGCAAGGAGGAAGGGCGGGAGCGGGGGGCCGTGGAGGCCTGGAGGGCAGAGCCGGCTCTGGGCGTCCTATAGGTGGAGTCAGGGCTGTGGCCACAGGGGAGGGACGGAGCAGGGCAAACCGGCCGGAGCCGGGCACTGCTCAGGAGGGCCAGTCTCCGCCCAGCCCGTGGGGACACGGTGTTCTCGGCAAATCGTCCAGGACACCTGCGGCCCAGGTGCAGGAGGCTGCCCGGGGTGTGGCCGCATCCCCTCCCACTGCGGCTGCTCCCAGTTCTGGCCACCTCCGGCCTCAGACGCAGGCGTCTCCCTCTGAAACCTCCCTGGGGCCAGGGGCCGGGCGCACAGACAGAGGCCAGCAGGCTCCAGCGGAGACCAGGGGACGGAGCATCCCAGCAGGCAGCCGTGTGACATCGGCGGCACTGTGTGGCGGGGCTCAGGGCAGGCTTCCCGGGCAGGGCCGTACGTGCGTATTGCTGCCGCTCCTGCTCGTGGCAGGTGCACCCGCAGGGATCGTTAGCTCTGCCCAGCTCCTGGTTTCGAGCCAGCAGCTCCCATACCAGGAACCAGGGTTCCTGGGAGACACGACTGGTTCTGGGGCGAGGGCCTTGTGCACGGCCCAGAAAGTAAGGGTTGCTCAGGGTAAACGATCGAGACGTGTCAGAGCGGCCGAAGAAGCTCCCGTGATCCACAGAGGGTTCCTCGATAAACCCGACGAGCCCAGCGGCAGACAGCCACCTCGCAGGGTGAGCTGATCATGAATTCCTCGCTGGGCAGGTCACGGCGCGTGGTCACGCCCCAGGCCTGTGACTTCTCTAGTAAAAGATTCATCTCGGCCGTAAGCGAGCCCGGCCGTGGTTTCTGGGCATCCAGGTCGGCACACCTGTGGGGTGCCAGGGCGAGCCTCTCGGCCAGGCCCCCCGGCAGAGCCCCCTCCAGAGAGTGGGTCGTCTTGTCGGCCCCCCGCACCCTGCTCTCCTGCCTCCATGCGGGTGTCCTCACATTCCCGCCTCAATTCCAGACGCAGAAGAGAAAACGCACATCGCCACTCACCGGAGTGTGCGAGATCCTGCTCCCTGGCATCGTGCTCGGTCTGGCTCATAACTCGCCAACATTCTCTACAGGTTAGGACGTTCTTACATCAACACTCCCAGTGGCCAACGCCGGCCAGATGCGAGCGGAGAATAAATACGTGATATTGGATTACAACCCAAACACACACGGGTCCACGCGGGTAGAAATAAATGCTGGAACGAGGGCCCAGAGGGAGAAGCAACAAACTCGCCTCACAGAGGGGTGCAAACAGCACGCGTCCCTGCTCTGGGGCACTGGGACTGGTTCCCCTGTCCCCTGCTCCCCCTGCCACCCCCCAGAGGGAGGCTGGACATGGTGACTCGCCCACACAGAGCAGACCGTGGACGTGGTGCTTCACAGCGGGGAAGCCTGGCCCGTAGTGAGCACCTGAATCAGGTGGGGAGGGAGGACCAGCATCGTGGGCGGTGTCACGTGGCTAACACGTACCCCCGATATGATGTGACGAGGACAGCACCTCGCCTCTATGGTCGTCCCCCAAAACCGCCCTGTCTGCATAAACCCAGATCAACCCCTTTCTGCAAAGCACCCGTCCAGACACCATCAGTCGCCCAGGACGAGGAAGTCCGACACTGTCCTAGCTCGGAGGTGGCTACAGAGACACGGTCACTGGACGCAATGGGGTCCCCTGGGTGGAGTTCTGGGACAGGGAAACGTCACCGGGAAAAGCCAATGAAATCTCAGCAAAGTGTTGAGTTTGGTTAACGGTCACACGCCAGCCAGCGCCGGTTTCTCGGTCGTGACAAACGGCCACAGCGACGTGTGTCGGCAGCAGTGGCAGGTGAGAAAGGTAAGGAAACTCGACAATCTTTGCAGCTTTGCCGCCAGCCCAAAACGACCCCACGATGCAAAGCGGGTTTTTACAACGCTCCCGCGCCCCTCGCCGCGCCTGCAGGCAGGGCAGCGGCGGCCGGGCCCCACCTGTAGCGGCCGGGCCTCACCTGTAGCTGCAGGGCTCCGCCCCGAACAGGCAGGCCAGGATCACCTGCTCGCCCGTGTAGCTCAGCTTCGCCAGCTCCTGGGTCGGCACCTGCGAGAAGATGTTGGTGGCCTGCAGGGTGTACCACTCCGTCACGGCCTGGGTGACGCTGCTGAAGTTCCGGAAGGTGCACACGGTCCTGTTGACGGAGCACTGTGGGGGCGAGAGGGGTCCCGGTGGGCGGGGCTGCTGGCAGGCGCCCGTCACTGCCCCCGGGGCGAGGGCCCAGAGCACCCTGCCAGCCGCCCGTCCCCAGGCTGCCCCCGGGACTGGACCGCCAGCTGTGGCCAATGGGGACGCGTTTACACTCGTGCACACACGTATGCTCGGGGCTGTCGCTCACGCACTGCCACCCGGTGACAAGGACTCACACAGCCACCACCCGTATGTGACCTTAACACATGAGTGAACACAGTGCACACACATGTGCACACACACACACGCATGCACGCTCATGCACACCCACACAGACCGATGTCCACTTTGTCACCACATGCCATCTTGGTCACAACCGTGCACACACGCATCCATGCCCCTCCCCCAGGCCCAGACACCCAGGCTCAGGCGCGTGGCACCGCACATGCTCCTATGGGCAGAGACGGACACGGACCTCCGGCCCAACCCCTTCCGCAGCCCTCCTAGGACCTCCAGGTGGCCCAAGGACCCCAGACTCTGCCCTCTCTCTGCTGGGGGCGGGGCCGGGGTGCAGGGCCCTCCACCTCCCTGCGCCCGCCCACCACGGGGTCCAGCCCACCACGCCAATGTGGCCGACTGGCCCTGGGACTAATGGTGGCACTCGGCCACCCAGCGGCCTGCCTTCTCCTCACACTCCGAGCCGGGGAGCCCCGGACGCATGACAGTGCTGAGCGCTCACCTCGCCCGGCCCCGCCCTCCTGGCTCTCTGTCTCTTGTCCCACTTGAGTTTCATGGAAGCCCTGCCCCCTGGTCATGGGGGAACCGAGGCCCACACATGGGCACACGGGGCCTCCCGAGAGCTGCTGTGGCCCCAGGGACAAGCCCACTTTACCGGTGAGCACACGGGCACTGGTGGCTGGGTGGCACCAGGCCGCCCCAGCTGGTGCTACGTGCCGGATTGTGGGGAGACGCGGGGTGGGTCCTGACCTCGGGGGTGGCACAGGAGGCAGTGGCCTCCTCTGGGCAGCATGTGGCCCCAGCCTGGGTCTCTGACCAACAGTGACCATCAGGATCACCAAGGAGCCTGTTAACAGTGCAGACCCCTGGGCCGAGCCTCGAGCTGTGTGTCTGGTATCGCCAGGGCCTCCCGTCCAGAGAGAGCCTGCCAGAGAGTGGAGTCGACTGAGGGAAAAGCTGAGCCAAGGAGAGAAACAGCCCTGACGACAGCATTTGAACGCCTGGATCCAGCCACACCTGAAGCCTCAGGACCTCGCAGTATGTGAAGCAGCGAGTCCTTGTCTTGCTTAAGCTTGTTCGAGCTGGGTCATTTGCGTCCCAAAGTGTCTTGACTAACATACCAGCCTCTTCTGTTCTTTAAAAAGCTTGGCAAACAGGCACAGTGGGCACCGGCTTCCAGCCGGCCTCCTCCCTGGCGAGACCCAGATCATTGATGGGCCGACGCTCCCACCAGCCCCACTGCACGTGGCCCGTGGCCTCACTTACCAGTCTCATGGCTACTTTGCACCCTGGGGCATTGCAGGTCCTTCCTGGCACGGGGCTGCTGTCATTGTGACTGTCTGCAAAGAGGTCGAGGACCACTGGGTGCCGGGGGTTCCGCTCGTCGATAAGGACCAGGGGCGTGTGGTTCCAGATGGTGAAGTTCAGGGCCTTGGTGGCGTTGGTGTGGCTCGGCTCGGAAGCCACGATCCTCTCCAGGACGGCCTCCATCAGCTCATCCAGGTCCTTCAGCAAGTGCTTGACCTTGGAGTACCTGGGTGGGGAGAGGGCAGGTCAGCGGGGCAAGGGGACGCCTGGAGGCAGAACAGCCAGCCCAGGAACCCTGTGACTCCAGCGTGGCTGCCACCATGTGGAAGCACGCCGTGTGCAAGCACCCGCCTCGCCATCTCCCCGGCAGGCGTCCGCACGGTCGGCCACTCACCCAGCCACTCACGTGCTCGCTCACCCACTATTTAGTGAGCACCCACTAGGCGCCAGGCATGGTGCACGGCACGGAGGCTACAGGAGCAGCCGAGACGGGCCCGGGCGCGTTCCTCCCTCAGTCAGATGCAGAAGACCCCAAGCGCTCACGGTCCCTGGGTGCCGACCGCACGCCAGGTGCAAGGTGCGGCCTGTGTCTGATTTTATTTCATCCCTGCCACAGCCCCAATGAGGAAACTGAGGGTTGCCGTGGTTGTCCCAGCTCCCCCCAGTGGTGAGGGGCAGAGCTGAGCCACGTACCCGAATCTGGGGGGCCCCGGTTCGTGCAGCGGCTGTGGGTAGGAAATGGAGGGAGCAAGGGCCGGTCTGTGGCCCCTAATTCTACAGCAGTGATTCGGGGAAGATCTCGGGAACGGGAGCCAGTGTCAAGAGGCCGCCGTGTTAGAAGTGGTGACTGGTCAGTCTGGCAGAAACATGTCCAGACCAGGGAGTGTCCACACCAGGCCCGTGGTGGAGGCCCCAGGCCCCGGACCCCAGCCACTCCCCACCCAATCGCGACGAGACGCCATGCCAAAGTGTGGTCACCGGGGCGGTGTGCGTCAGGACCTCCTGCAGGGGAGGCCGTAAAACCCCGGACACAGGCCAAGTTCTGGTACGAAGGTGTCCAGAAGCCGGAGCTGACGTCAGCCTCAGATGCTGACACCGCCTGTCCGCTGACCGCTGGACCAGCCCCATGGGCGCACGGGGGGAGGGGGATGGGAAGGGCGGTGGGCTGTGGCTATGGGGGCTCAATGTCCACAGCTGCTGTCGAGCTTGGTGGGTCACCGCATGGGCGCCGGGTTCCAATCCTGACATGCCGCTGAGTATCTGTGTGGCCTTGGGCAAGTTAACCTCTGAGGCCCTGTTCCCTCGTCTATAAAACGGGGGGATTAAAATATTTACCCCAAAGGGCTGTCGGGAGGGTTTAGCAAGGCAATGCTTATAAAGCGCTTGGAGCAGTTCCTGGAGAGAGCGTCATTGTCACTATAATTATTAAGGGATCTTTTGAGTGTCTGCAAGGGCCCGCCCGAGTAGGCGGGAGACCTGTCACTAGAGAGCAGGGACTCTGCTGAGTAGAGCCCGCCCCGGGCCTTCTTTTGGACGAGAACGTTCTCCGTGACTCAAGCCACGCCGGCCCTCCTTGAACGCACCAAGCCCTGTCTCACTCCAGGGCCTTTGCACATGCCATGTACGCTCTTCGCCCTGCCTGGCTGTCTTCTACTCGTTCCTGGGGCATTTTTCTGACCTTCCTCAAGTCTGACTAGGTTGGGTCCCTTGCGTGTCCCCTTCATAGGCCTTGCCATCAAGTGGTTAGACAGTGGCCGCTCTGGATTCAGATCAGGCCTGAGTTCAAATCCCACCACTGCCCATTGTGTGGCTCTGGTCGAGTTCTCTGACCTCTCCGAATCTCCATTTCTGGACCTGTAAATGGGGGCGATTATAGGCGTGCCCGCCCCTGGGGCGGTCGTGGGATTGGAATTACAGATTACCCAAAGGTCAGTCAACGCGCGGCTTCCCATTTCATGAGCACTCGATGCAAGGTTGCTAGACATATTTTCTATCATCGCGTTATAATTCCTATTATAATTAATTCCATATTTAAGGAAAAAAGATTCATGTCTGTTTTCTCAGGTAGGCAGTGAAGAGGGCAGGGACTTCGTTTCATTCACTCACAGTGCCTAGAACAGTGCCTGGCACATAGTAGGTACTCAATAAATACATACCGAATCACTGCCTAGGCACTGGTGTGCACCAAGCCCCGACTGCCAGGCGTTTTTTGAGACTCTCATTAAGCCCAGGAGGTTTGTGAATTTTGAATCTTACTCACTTTGCCAAAGGACAAAAGCAAAGAGGGGGAGGAAAGGAAAGGAGAGAAGAAAGGGGCGTAAGAAAAAGAGAGAACGGGGAAGAGAAGGGGGAGAGCGGACAGGAAGCTGGAAGGAAGGGGGACGAAGGGAGGAAGAAGACGACCAGTCGCCCCGGAGGGCGGCGGAGCGCGCCACGGACCGCCTACCGGAAGGGGCTGGCGTTGCAGATGGTGACGGCGGGGAAGTCCATGGCCTTGAAGCCGACGGAGAGGGAGACGCTGACCTCCCAGCTCAGGTAGGTCTGGATGAAGACGCCCCACTGCCAGAGGACGAGGGAGGCGAACAGCAGGGTGAGCATGAGCCACATGGCCTGCTTCTTGGGCCCCTCGCAGATGATGCGCTTGGGGCCATGGGTGTTGGTGTTGTTACAGTACCACACCAGCAGCTCCTTGTACGTGTAGCCGGGGCCTTTCTGCAGCCTGTGCAGGCACTTCAGCAGGTACTTCTTCACCTGCATCGTGGCACCTGCGGAGAGACACAGGGGTGCCACGTCAGATGCGACACCAGCCTCGCGTCGTACGAGGATGTCCCACTCGCAGCTGGATCATCTCACTGGAGACAGGCAGACCAGGCTACATGTCACGGCTGTCCCTCCCTCCCTCCCTGCCTCTTTTCTCTCTTCCTGCCAACTATCATCCATCCATCCACCCATCCATCTATCCATCATCCATCCATCTATCCATCCATCCATCCATCCATCTATCCATCCATCCATCCATCCATCTATCCATCCATCCATCCATCCATCTATCCATCCATCCATCCATCCATCTATCCATCCATCCATCCATCCATCTATCCATCCATCCATCCATCCATCTATCCATCCATCCATCCATCCATCTATCCATCCATCCATCCATCCATCTATCCATCCATCCATCCATCCATCTATCCATCCATCCATCCATCCATCTATCCATCCATCCATCCATCCATCTATCCATCCATCCATCCATCCATCTATCCATCCATCCATCCATCCATCTATCCATCCATCCATCCATCCATCCATCATCCATCCATCCATCCACCCATCCATCCACCATATATCCATCCATCCATCCATTCACTCATCCATCCACCTATCCATCCATCCATCCATCCATCTATCCATCCATCCATCCATCCATCTATCCATCATCCATCCATCCATCCATCCATCCATGCACCCATCCACCACCCATACATCCAAACAAAAAGCATTTATTGAGTGCCTCCTGTGTGCCACGCACTGAATTAGCCCCTCTGGACTCGATGGGCAAAATGAACAAGGTTTCTGGCCTCTGGGAATTCCCAGCCTAGTGGACCAGTTGCTCTCGCCCCTCAGGTTCTCATCTGTAAAACAGCACTGGCTGCACCTAACTTACAGGGTTGCTGAGAGGGTGAAATTAGCCGATGCATGAAAGTGCTCGGCACATCAGCTACCATTAACACAAGTCATCGGCAGGTGCACAGGCATTAGTGAAATAATCCATCAGAACATGTGGTTACAAAACGTGACAGAAGGATCAGGATTTTGTGGCCTGAGCTCCCAGAGGCAGCGAGTAGGGTGACGGGTAAGAATGAGGACTCTGAATCCGAAATGCTTGGCTTCGAGTCTCGACTCTGCCTCTTTCTAGCCGCGTGACTTTGGGCGAATTGCTTTCTCAGTGCCTCAATGTCCTCATCTGTCAAAGGGGGACAGTCATAGATTCTACCTCATAGGGTTGCTGTGAAGACAAGGAAAATATGGAGACATTGCTGACATTTGAACACCTGGATCCAGCCATTCCTGAAGCCATTTATTCCTAGACTCATCAGATATGGGAACCAACGAGTCTTCTTTCTTACTTATGCCGATCCAGACTGGGTGTCTGCCGTTTGCAACCATTAGGATCTTAACGAAAAAGCAATTCACATCGCTCCACCTGTGCTGTAGTTACTTCTGCCTGCTGCTTCTCACTCCTGTGAGGTCCTATACCTCCGAGGGAAGAGGCTCCGTATCCCTGCCTGGCCCAGCCCGGTGCCGGGAACTCCACCAGGCAGAATGCCAGACCTTCACATCTAAACGGAGATCTTGAACTTGCCCAAGCACGTTCACTCCTGACCTAATTTTCTGACACAGTCGCATCCTCACCTTCCCGGTCAGTTTGTTCAAGGCTCCCTCTCTGACTCCAGTGCCTCTGCTCTGTGACGGAAATGAAGCTGCTTGTGCCTGCCCAGGCCATCATGGCTGTGAGACAGACGTCCACAGACCAAGCCAACCCCTACCTTCCCCAGAGGGCCCGTCCCCGGCTCGGGGAGAATAAAGTGCTACGTGTTTAATGATCCCGGCTCTACACGGCGCTTCTAAAGTTATTTCACTCTCATGTGCCATTACCCACAGCGATCAGCTCGGAAGCAATGGGCTCCGTCTGTCCCGGGTAGCCCGGTTCCCCAAGGCCTGGGCCCACACCTGGGGCCCCAATGAAGAGCTGTGGAGGACATGGACGAAGGACTTCTCCAGTGTCCGCCCTTTTCCAGCCTCATGTAATCGTTCCGATTCAGTCCAGGGGGAAGCGTCAGCTTAGTCCAAGCCCTTCCAAGGTCCTAACACCCTTCCAAGGCCCCGCTGACCTCCCGGTTTATCAGCGAGGCCCGAGGCACCGGTGTAGGTAGTGGAGACAGCAGTCTGTTTCCTTTGGGTTTTGTTTTAAGCGGGATCTTCTATTTATGTCAAGAGATACTGGCTTTTACTTGAGCTTCTTAAATACACTAAGTAAAAGAAGAAAAGATGCTCAGTAAATAGTAGGCAGCCAAAACTGTGACAATGGCAAGTAGATGGCAGGGGTTTGTCGAGTGCCGGCTTATCTTCTAACTACGGTTTGGCCCGTTGGGAGAGTAGCCAAGTAAGAATGAATGAATGCTACAAAAAAATTTTACGTCAGATTTCATCCCCGAGATGGTCTGTGTTTGGAACGTACACACGGCTTGAGTGTAGAGGTTTAAATCCCCTTACGGCTTCAGCCAGCACGCACAAGCCAAGTGGAGATGGACTCCGTAGCATGGACGCGGGCGGAGTGGATACCGTCACTCTGGGGGAGTCACAGATTGCTACCCACATCTTGGCCCCCAGCCTGTGGCCAGCGTTTCTGGCATCGGATAACTGCTGTATGCCTCCATTTCTGTTTTCTTCCAGAAGAATGAGAGGCTGCAAAGGCATGACCCATGACCCATGACCCATGAGGTAGCCTGGGTTTGCACAAGCTTTTTTTTCTCCTTAGCACGGTATTTTTTTATAATTCTTTTTAAAAAATAATAGCTTCCTTGTGATGTAATCCACATGGAATGCCATAAAACTCCTCTGTTTACAACGTAGAATTCAGTGGATTTTAGTCTATTCACAGAGTTCTTCAGCCGTCGCGAAACATTTAAAAATGTTTAGAGCGTCAATTCGATCTCAGTCGAAATCTCGGCAGACTTTTTGCAGAAATCAACAAGCCGATTCTAAACTTTGTGTGGAAAAGCAATAGAACGAAAATAGAAAAAAAAAAAAAAAAAAAAACCTTTGAAAAAGAACCAAGTTGAAGGACGTAGACTATCTGAACCTAGATTTACCGTGAGGTGCAGTAACCAGAACAGGGTGACGCTGGCGTAATGACAGACGTATTGATTAATGGAACAGACGAGGAGAAAGACCCGCAAAGGTGCCCCAGTAATCTGATTCAGCGAGGATGGTCTTTTCGACAAGAGATGCTGAAACACACAGATGTCCACAAACGAAAACGTGAATTTCAACCCCTACCCTACACTACATACGAAAATTAACTGGAAACGGATCAGACACCTAAACACAAGAGCTAAAACTGTAGACCGTCCGGAAAGAGAAAGTCTCCGCAACCTTGGGGTGGGCCAAGATCTCCGAGATAGGGGACTAAATCACGAATTATAAACGAAAAATCCTCATAACCTGCACTTTATTAAAATGGACATCTTCTCTTCCAAAGACACGTTTCAGAAAACAGAAGAGCAAGCCACTGGGGAGAGACTACTTGAAATAACACGTCTGACAAAGAATTTGTAAGCAGAATACGTCAAGGGTTCTTAGAACCCGGGACGAAGAACCCGACGAAAAACGAGCAGAAATGTGAAAAGACCGTTCATAAGGGATGACATGTGGGTGACCCGCAGCACACGAGAAGGTGCCGAATCCTGGTAGTCACAGCAGAAATGCAAATCGAAGCCGCAGTGAGGTGCCACCTGCCACCCACGGGGGCTGACGGCGCCCGGTGATGGTGAGGGTGTGGGCCAGTGAGGGCTCTCACGTGACCAGTCGGGGTGGGAATGGCACAGCCGATCCAGAAAACCTTCCGGCAGTTGCTCATACAGTCAAATGTGCACTTGGCCTATGACCTAGCAATTCCCCTGTGTTTATGCGAGAGAACCGAAAACACGTTCATGTGAAGACTTTTACGTATGGATTTGCAGCAGCCTTATTCATTCATAACTCCGATCACACGAGCCGACGTCCACCAGCGGGTGGCTGAGTAAACAGGTCGGGGCCTGTCCAGACCCTG